CCCTGTGGGGGGTTTTTTTTTTTTTTTTTTTTTACCCCAGGAGGTCAAAAAAACCCATGTGGAAGAAAAGCAGGGCAGCATATGTGGCAGGAGCACACGCCACCCAAAACCAGAACCTGGCCGGCCAGAGCCATGCTTTGGCTGTTGGCCAGGCTCCCAACTGCAGGAGTGCCATGGCTGCAGCTTCCTAGGGCCCCAGGTAAGGCTGCGGGGGCCAGCATAGTTGCTGCCCCACAGCTGCCCCTATCCCACCTATGATAACTTGCTGCATGTCTGAGTATGTGTGGCACTAGCATTCCCCAGAGACAAGTAGTAGCAGCACAAGGTGTGCCACTAGTACTTGTTCTCGGGGAGCCGAACACCTGCACTCATCTGGACATGGCAAACTACTTCCTTTCATCCAGGCAGAACTGGTTCAGCCTACAGTCTTGAGGTAGAAAGTTAGTTCACGTACTTTACTATTTGCTTATGGAACATTTGAATCAAACTCTAAAACAAACAGGTCATAGGTTCACCCCAGATACTAAATCCATAGCACTTTTCCCAGGTGTAGAAACTTTCCTCATTATCTTGGCTAACATATTCTTTGCCAGGCTATTACCTTCACCATGCTAGAAGCAGCCATCTTTCAGTAGTGGAATAGGACTGTCCACTGACTTCCATTAAAGCAGAAGGTATTCAATGCACACCATAAGGAGTATTTAGCACCGCAAAGAATCAGATCAATAGTTTGTAAAGGGCTACAAAGATCATTTTTGATGAAAGGCTCTATTTTTCTCATTTTACCTTTATAAATGAATGTCCAGATAGGTGTTATTAACTGCAAGTGAAGAAAATATCTGCCATAACCATAGTTTTTGGCAATGATCTCTATGGAGCCCTGAACCACAAGATGTCTAAGGGAATAGAAGTTCAATGCAAGGTTACACCTTTTATTAAAAAAAATTAAAAAGTCAACAAAACCTACAGTATGAAAGACTGGACGAATCCAAACAAAAAAGATCCATACATTAAACCACAAATTTGTCCTAGAATTGTGCGCGATAAACAGAAGGAGAGTCAAAATCAGAAATCGAATAGACCAAAACTGGTATGGCAAATATTAGATCTGATTGTTGTCCAGAGTACTGACAACAAACTGATGGAAATTAAAATACGACCACAGGATGCATGGCTTAAAAACAGCTAATTTCTGCTATCATTTCTGTAAACCCCATTGTCTCCTGCAACCCCTAGATCTACTTTGATGCTGTTCGGTCTTCACCATCCAAATTTATAATCATCATCCAATGTATATCTTTTCCTTTTTTTCTCTTTTTGCCTTCTATTTATTAAGAATGAGGTTTAGCTACCTGAGACTGCATCTTCCCCCACTATACCATAAGCACTCGACTAAAGAAGCTTAAAAGATAAATCTTAACTAGCCAAACACAGGTATAAAAGTTTGCTAGAAGTCAGAATGGCTAATCAGAACATGACCTGGGACTGTGTTTCTTTAGCAGTTAGCCTGCAAGTAAGAACATCAAAGAGAAAAAAAATGTAGTTCTTATCTTTGCTACTTTTCTTTTTCCCCTCGGGTACATTTTTTTTTATTTGTATAACAGGTAATAGGATCTGTCTCTTAACGGCAACTGTGATTACTCCACAGCATCTAAATTTCTCTCCCCCCCACAAAAAGAACAAATAGCATAATATAATATTTAAAATCTGTCAAACAGGGCTTTTCCTGAACTTGTACCTGAAGGGAAACAGAACAAAGCATATTATTAAAATGAAAGCCTTACTTAATGCTTTACCACTTTCCTTCTTTTTATGTACCTTTAATAAATGCTCTTTTTTTTTTGTTAAGTGGTGATTGTTACACCTTGGGAATAAGCAGGTAGAGTCTGTCTTTTCTTCTTAAAGCCTCAAACTTTATTTAGCTGTTTTAGAATTATACATTGATAGGAACATACTATCATATTTGACATGCTGAGCCCATTTATTCTATCACATTGCACAAAAAAGCATGCTACCATCTTGAAACTAAACTTCAACAGTTTTACAAAGAACATCATAAAGTTTCTGGGAAAATGAAGAAAGATCTCTATTCTCATATGTTCTTATTTCTCTGTGATCCTGCAACTGAATTGCTGCAGGTAAACCTGTGATCTCATCTATACCACACATGAAGGAAAGTCTGAGTATCTATACAAAGTCCCTTGTAAGGTATCCAAATAGACAGAGCCATCCCGGGGGTGGGGGGGCAGCAAACAGTGCAAGTGCCCCGGGCCCCACAGAGTGATGATACTGTGCTACCGCTGGCTTCACGTCCGACTGCTCAGCTCCCCCCTCCCACCCTGCCAGATCTGCCACTGGCTTCCTCACATCCGAGGGTAGGGCCCCGCACAGGCTGATTTGCCCTGGGTCCTGCACCCTGCTCAGATCATCTCTGCACATACAGAGTTTCATAAAGGGTTTCATAATCAACTTCCATTTATGTAGAATTTTTCTATAAGATAATCACCATCTGGTTCAATGCATGTTGTTTTAAAGTATTCCTTGAGACTAAAACTTTCCTTTTATTAAATGAACAGAGCAATACTGTGTTTCTCACAGGACTGGGAATTACGAACAGGGAATTATTTAGTGAAAAGGAAAGAGACCATCAGGCTGTTTGATGCTTAGAACAATACAACTTAATCTTCAATGTAGATAAACATTTTGAGCAATGGTTCCACAATGTGCTGGACTAACAGACCACTGTCAATCCTCAATTTCTTATGGAGCATCATGCACCCTTATCAACAAACTTTTAATTGCAGAAGGGAAGTGGATGCAATCCGCAAATTAACAGTAAGCTCCTCAGCTTGACTTTGCAGACCTTTAGCATTCTATGGAACACAAACTGGGACCACCGTGTTATGGTCCAACTCTACAAATGCTTGCTATTAATAGGAGTCATATTGTTTTCAACTGGATTAGTTGAAAAAGGATTTGGGGCATATCAGGCCCCCTAGCACTACTGCGAACTGCTTGCATACGTGATCAAAGGAAAACAAAAATCTCTTTCAAACTTTTAGGTAGTTTTAAGGCTTTTTACTCACTGACTGAGTGATTCAACTCCAGTCTTGTCTGCTTCATCTGCATCTTCATCAGTATCAGAGTCAGTCCCATTCTCACCTTGATACATGAAATTTCAGTGCATGAGATACACAGCCAGATATCACCTTCCTAGCTGATATTGTCTGTAACAGTTAATACTATTCAGCCAATAGCATAGCTTCTCCAGCTAAAGAAGCAGTAATTTGAGGCAGCTGCTGCCTACCAACTCAAACAAGTCTGTACTCTTCCTCTGTTATCTTTGCATTACATAAAAACATAGAGAGTAGTGATTCCAAGTTCGATACTGTACTCAAAGAGTTTAGTGCAAGGACTGACAGATCAATACAAGCACCATTTAAGCTCCATACAATTAACCTACATAAGAGGACTACATCAGTTCAGGAGAATTTTCCAGCTGGAGCTCAACACAGCACTGGAATGCTGGCAATAAAATGGACTGACAGAAGGAACTGGAGGAATGTGCTGGGAAGGAAACAGTAGGTCTGACCTAGCAAGTATCTGTGAGTCCACAGGCCTACAGGGTGGAAGCTTCCAAGTAGGGAGTACAAAGGCAGCTACAGACAGCATGCCAAATACCAAAATATGGCGGGTTGAAACCATGTAGCCTGTTCTACATCACCAATTAAAACTTAATTACTAATTAATAACATTCAGATTTGCTTCAGGTATTTGTACAGGAAAATATGGCACCCTATTTCACAGTTTCATAGTTTCTAGGGTCGGAAGGGACCCGAGTAGATCATCTAGTCCGACCCCCTGCCATGGCAGGAAAGATTACTGGGGTCAAATGACCCCAGCAAGGTGTTCATCTAACCTCCTCTTAAAGACGAAGCAAAGGCTGCTTTAGTTGTTTACAATAGGTTTGTCCACCTCAAGCATCCAGGGCCACAAGCCCCCCACATACTGTAAGGTATGCAAGCCGTGCTGCATGGGTGCTTCTACTGCAATGCACCAGTGCCTCACCACCATGCTGTCTGCACCCCCCTGAAGCACAATACATTGTACTATGCTACATGAGCCCCGCCCCACCACACACACATTGGGTGCCCAGATCCCCCTGAATGCCTCAGAAGCAGGCTCCTTCAACCTTATGGGCTTGGCTGCACTTCCCCACCCTACCCCACTCCCAAGGGTGAGAACAGGCAGTGGAGGATGTAGGTAGAACCCCAAGATCCCAGCAGCAGCAGCAATAGAAACAATGAGGAGAACAGCACCCGAATGGAGAGCAGATTAACCCCCTGAGGGCCACATGTGCCCCGTGGGCTGCAAGTTGGACAGTCCTGGCATACAACATAACAAGGAAGAAAAAAGTCTCCATATTGCTGCTGCATATCATGACACTACCCAAGCAAAAAATAAAAGCAACACAAACGGGCTACACAGGAGGTAGTCTGCTACTTTTTAAAAGTGGTAACAGACTATTCCTTTTTATACCAAGTGGTGATCCAGGTAGAGTGGTTTACTGTTCAATCGACCCAAAACAAAATGTTTCAATTCAAGAGCACTGTTTCAGTTTCCATGAGGGAAAAGCTTTAGATGAAATGTGGAAATTTTCCACAAAAAGCAAATATTTATCATAAAAAACCTGTTTTGGTGAAAACCCAATTTTCTGTCAAAAGTAGTTGATGAAAATGTTGATGACTCCTAAATCTAGCATGTAGAGAACCTTGAATAACATTTTTATGTCCGTAAGTAAAAAGTAGCTGTAGGTACACTTAAATTTGGTATGCAGAACCATGTTGTGCAGCCCACAGTGCTCCCCAGGGGTCCAGAAGTTTGCCAGGGGGGTGAGGTGGCAGCATTAACTGCTACTTCCCCACTGCCAATTTTCTGGATCCAGAGGGAGCCTCATGGGCCAGATAATGTGGCCTTCTTTACAGGAACAGGCCAGCAGGTGGCTGGATTCAGGTGTGCGGGTTCAGACAGCATGCTGGATTGCACCCATGGCTCAACCCTACAACTGGCATGTGATCACCATTTGGCCCATGAGGCCAGAAGGCTGGGCACTACTGATATGAAACCTATGAACTTTCCATTATTTTATTGCATATATTTGTATTTAAATATATAGAAAATATTTGTTTAACCAAACAATGCAACATCTTACTGTACAGGGAGTTTATTTTTTAAGGGCTTTCAGAAGATTTATTTGCATCTTCCACTATAAGATTATTTTGAAAGACAGGTTACTCTAACGGGAAACGATGACAACAGTGAACACAATAGTGTAGGATAATAAAGAATAAAAGCTAGTTCTTACCCTCAAGAATCTTCAGCAATTTTTTCTCAGATAAAAGCTCTAACTGTTCCAGACAAAGTCTTTTGATTTCTTCCATTGAACAATTCTAAGAAAATGATGCAAGACAAACAAAACATATGTGCATTCTCAAAATTTCAGATGAAGAGCATTACATACAAGTCACAACCAATTTTCCATTTCTGCCAAAACATTTAAAGCAACATTCAGCTCAAATTGCAAGGTAAGGTGTTGCACTCATCACATAACTTTAATGGAAAAAAAGATACTGGGCCTAAAGAGGGGGCAGGTAAGTTTTCCCACAGCTGGGTATTTAATAATAAAAAACAAAACAAAACCAACAAACCCCAAACAAACCAGAAAACTAACAAAATATCAAGATATAATTTTGGAAAACTATACCAAAAAGTGTCTACTATTTGACATTCCTATACTTCTCCTGGTGTTTGTGACATGCGGCATTAGTTGGAAGCAAGAGCTGATAAGCCAATTATAACCCACACTTACTTTATGCGTTCTGTCTTGTTAGAAGATGGATCAAATAGGATTCTAAGGCTGCCCACAGGACTTTGAGAAAACAGAATTAAGCCTTTTAATGCTAGAAGCTCCTGCTTATAGCGCCAGAGGTCCTAATCCAATCTCTACTGTCAGTAACCACCGAGTGTCATTGTGTTTATAAAAGCAAGACAAGATGTCAGAAATACGTCAGGTGGTCAGAAAAAGATAAAGACAAAGATATAGTTAACGTTCTTCATGGAGCATTTAAACACATACTATGAAATTGGATGGATTTTCTACTTCCATTTCACTTCCCTTCACACTGCATTCTGGCTACCTTATCTCCTGACAAGAACTGGACAGAATATTACAAAGAGTCTTCTTTCTCCCCTCCCCATCTCTTTTGCTTGCATACTGTCAGAATTCCCCTACCATGTTCTCTCTCAGTTTTTTTTTTTTTACTGTATATTAATTATTGCGACCAACAAGAGCCCTGCAGCTTAGGATGGGGAAGGGATATGATTTTGTTTGAGGGTTTGTTTTATTTTTGGATTCATTTTTCTTTTCAGCATACCAAATTAATCTTTGCTCAGTGTTTTAGACTGGAAAACTGGTCCACTGTCCTCCTTAGAAGTTAAAAATAGAAGTAATTTTGGAAGAAGCAAAGAGAACAAGTCTCAGCAAGGAAAAATAAAAGAGATGGATGGGATGGCAACCTACTGAGTAAGAATTCACAAACAAAACGTCCATTTTGGTCATATTAGAAGATTCCTACTCCCAGAATAACAATTTTGTTTTCAGACAAAAAATGATGGAAACAAACCATTCATCACCAACTACATCACAAAACTGACATTTCAATTGTAGGCTTTTCATCAGCAGAGGCTGTTAGTCTTACAAAATTGTATGGTATTTGTGTTTTTTTATTTTTATAAGCCTGAAAGGATGTTCCAAAATCATTTTCAGAACTTAAACAGCAGATGTCCCCACCATTCAGCCCACAGATTGTTCTAATAATAAATTAAACAAACACAAACAGTTTAAGCAGTTGTGGTATAATAAAGCTATGCCCTATAATTTCACTGTTTTCCCCTTCTATTTGACAAGCATTTCATTCCAAATTAGAGAGAGAGACAATTTTAATGAAGCGTTTTTAAATATAAAAATCAAGTCACACTCTCTCAATGATCTTGATGTTAAGAAACAAAGGAACTTAGTCTTCACCACAACAAGGAAATGCTGCTATCTCAATTATCTGAGTGCTGAGTAAAGCATAAGTACTTGGATGCATAAATAGCTAGAAAGTATAGCAACAGCTTAGTACAGTGATAGTATGCAACAATTTAAGACGAAGTAAACACCATTTCCAACTGGAATTTTAAGAAAAATTGCATATGATCAACAAACCGAACTATTCTTCATAGTCAATACACCTATACTTGTTAAAATATTCCCACAGAACATTTACTGACAAATGGTATGACCATGCACCTCATCTTTGTGAAGCCTCTGACCAAGTTCAAAGAGGCTTATGCAAGAGAAATGCATCAGCACTACAATATTATTGAATTCACAAGTTAATGTAGCCTTTGTTCAAGAAATACAAAGGATGCTTTAATTTGTATGGTAGCAGTTTAGTGAACCAACAGACACCAGAAAGTTTTTCGTCCCTGCTTGTCCTGAATATGTTAGAACATGAGTATATTTCAATACCTTTAATATATCAGGCAGCATCTTCTGCAATTTCTTTTCCCCTATGACACAGAAGCACTGTTGAAGCATTTCTTTTTTGTCTGCAATGTAGAAACTAACTGGTTTGAGTGCCACAGTGAGATCTAGGCCACCTTCTTCTATATCACTGGGCTCTTCACCTGCTTCCTCTTTTTCTGCCAGGGGCACAGTGCATTTTCTCTCCTAAAATTAAAAGATTACAAAATATGGAAACTGCCTTTAATGAGCCAATCAAGAGAAAGAAAGATTTTATTACTTTACTTGCCTTGCCACCATTGCTCCCTACAATAAAACTTTTAAAAGAATATTACAAATGAATTTCTCTTATACTGGAATAATAAACTTTAGAGTGTTGTTTTACACATTAAGAAAACTGCATCAATAAGTGAAACAGATGCTCTCTAAAGGTGCAGAACAAACTCTAACAACCCTGTCAAGGAGACCTCCCAATTTAACTAATTTAGCAGTCTTGCAGACCATGAAGCAAAGAGTACTTCTCACCATAAATTGAAACATGTACTGGCAAAAAAGTTTACCCATTTGTCTGCATCTGTACACTGAATTAAACTGAAATTAGTGATGATACTGGGATGTTGCCCGCCAAGAAATGCACTTCACCACTATTTTTGGTGTAGGGGATACTCCACTTACTTGTGGATCAGATAAGCCTATCATTTCGTTAACTGCATAATACAGGATCCATCTACACGTGATGCTATGTTACCGTAGCAATGCACTGCAGTGACATACCTTTGCAGGTGACTATATATGACTAGCAGCTATGTTGCTGTAGCAACATGCACCCTCTTTATAGCCTACTGCTACAGCGACGTAGCAGCTAGAAATAACCATGCACAGCCAGCACAGTGCAGTACAGGTTGTTACTGAGCCATCATTTTGAAGTCTAAAATGACAAATGACAGCGCGGTAACAATGGCACTGCACAGTGATGTGTAGATATGCCCACAGTGTAGCAGTAGGCAAAAATTGGGGCTGGCGGTGTAACGAATTCTAGGCATCTGTGTACCAGTTAAGATCATAAACTGCACTGCTGAAGCACAGATGGACTCACTGGCTCCTCTATTTTCTAACTTGACTGCACTCCATTTAATTGTATAATTGGTGAACCTGATTAAGAACTATCAATGTCAAGGCTTCCAAAGCAATAAATGGGGGGCAATTTCAAAAACACTTTGAAAGGTAAAAGGTGCTCCCAGAAACAAGACCAAGAGCCTGAAGCTACAAAAGCCTTGACACAGGGCATTCCTGTAGTTAACAAATGCCTAAACTAAGTTCGGGCACTCTGGTTAAGTTCTTAGCTTTTTGAAACTCAAGGTAACACGCTATCCATAGCGCACTGCACAGAATCACCCACTGACACAACTATTTTGCTATAAAGTAGCAGTCTGCACCTAACAGTTTTGGGGCCTGGCTCCCTTGGAAAGACTGGATTAAATGACCCACAACACCACAGGTTGCATTGTGACCAGAAAAACTATGGGCAGCACAGGAACTTTGCACCCAAAATACCTTGGTTTCATGTAGCACAAGGCTAGCCCTGTTGCCACGACAGTTCAGGAATGATGTGTGAGGTGAGTATTTCTCAGGGCAACCACTGGCATAGGACCAACCCCACGGGTTGGGGTGGTGGTGGGGACTGAGGAAGTTGCACCCATCCTGCATTTGAAAGCAAACTCTGCCCCAATGCTGCAACCAGTCCAATAAAAGAGAAACACCCTCAGAAACCCACCCCGTTGTGCTGTCCTCACAGCCAAATGCCCAGTGCTGCCTTTGCCTAAATCCAAGACAGCCAGAACTGAAGACGGCCCCTCTGCCCTGTCCCCAGTAATTCAAGCCCACGCATGGGAAACTCACTTGTCACCGTTTCCCAAGTGTGGGCGCCCGTTGTTGCAGCGCCACGAGCAGGCTCACAGGGGACGGGCACGAGGACAGGGAGGGACCCCAGGAGGGGAGCCCAAGCCCCGTTCAAGGCAGGGCTACCCCCAGCCAGACCCCCCGCCACATCCTCCCCGCAGCACGGGCCACGCTGGGAGCGGAGGACGGGACCCCCGTTACCTCGGGGAGGCCGCGGCCGGCCTCGGTGCTGCGCCGCTTCCTGTCGCCGCCCCCCGCTGCAACGGCGGCTTCCGGGCAGCAGGAGCGAGAGCGGCGCCGCTTCTTCTCTCTGGAGGACCGGCGGCCCGGCATAGCGCCTCGGCGCCAGCGCGCCGCCGGGAGATGGCGTCACCGCCACCAGCTCCAGCCAGTCAGGGGCCCGTGGGAGGCTCGGAGCAAGACCACGTCCGGGACCCTTCGGCGAGGACACTTCCGGGAGCTTGGGGCAAGATCACGTCCGGAAGTGCTCTATCTCGCAGCCCCCTCGCTATCCCCACTCAGGATGAGGGCGCCCCCTACAGGCCGCCAGGGCGCTGCAGCGGCTTGCAGGCCCTTTAAAGGGCCCTGTAGATGCTGAAAGAAAAAGCCTGGCTAGTACCCAGCTAGGCGGGAGTTATTCCACTTTTCCAAACACCCGCTTTGTAGAGCGGGAGAGTCGTTTGGGCCCTGCATTTGTTGCTTTGCAGGTGTGACGCGTCTCTGTTTATTGCACGATTCACCAGTGAATGGCGTAGTAGATGTAACATGTCGCAGGGGCCTGAGGAACAGATCTGGAGGGTTCAGGAAGCCACAGGGCTCCTGGGCCTCTGCTGCTTCCAAGAAACGCTGCCCCTTTCCCCCAGCCCCCTTCCCCCCGGCATCTCTATTCCTTGCTGAGGGCCCACTGCCTCCCTGTGCGGCTTTGCTCTTTCTTTCTGGAGCTGAAAGTGTGATCGATGAAAGCGTAGGCAGCTCTGAAGCAACTGCGCTATAACAGTGTTTCTTAACCTGTAGGGCACAACCCAAAAGTGGGTCACAAGAATATATGAAAGGATCACAAACAAACTTTAAAAATGGATTCTCCTTTAAAGGAGGCAAATGAGGGAAATGTGGCTTTTCCCTTGCAGGCTGGCAGAGCTCTAAGAGCGCACACCCACCCCTGACCCAGAGACTGAGGGGCTGGGAGCTGGATGGGGGGGGGCAGCAGGTCAGGAGTGAGGGGCACTGGCTCAGGACTGGCTACTGTGATTTACAAATGGGTCCTGGTACAAAAAAGGTTGAGAACCACTGTTCTACAAGGTGCAGCTCTGCCCTGCCTACTGTCAAATGCTAAGTGCAGTTAAGATCCTGCAGTCCCACGATGCAGAGCTGCCCTCCAGCTGCAGAAAGGAGGTTGCTGTGAGATGTGGTGGAAACACCATAAAGAGCAAAGAAAAAGAACTGAGTGAGTTGATTAAGTGAAAACTGGAACAGAGCTCAAATGTAAGCACTTGACTTCCCTTGGCAAGCCAGGATGTCTAGGCATGTGCATAGGTAAGGCAGAGAAAAAAAAGCCAAAAGAAACAGCCCTCCCAATAACTACATGCACATCAATTTTGCAAATAAATTCACTTATTTAAAACCTGTAACTTTCTGTGACCCATTAGCAGACCCTCAACTCACATGAAATAAACAGTTACCTGGATTTGCAATGACTGAGTGCCAGAGAGAAAGCTCCCAGCCCTGGGCAGCATGTAGTTCAGGCCCTTGGCTGCAGGCTTGCTAGCAGCATGCTGAGTTTGAGCTTCTTTGCCTGAGTGCCTTGGCATGGGATTGAGACCCAGACCCTGCATCTGGGGCCTAATTACAAACTATAAAGTTGGAATGCCTGTACTGCGGAATGAAAGAAAAGCAAGTATGTGGGCAGGGTTGAGGCCTGGCTTAGTCCATTGAAAGGCTGCTTGCCCAAGAAGGGGTGCTGGCAGGAGGGAACTGCAAAGCTATGGTGCTGATGCCCTGGCAGATTTGCCTATCTCCCAAGTGTATTCAAGACGCTTGACAAGTAAAACTGTATTACCCTCCCTGCCCATGGGGTTGTTTATTATTACGGCATCACTGATTAAGGAGTCCTATGGATGAGGCTGTTAGCCTCAGACCCTGTGTAGTGGCCAACTGGCAGGCTTGCTAGCTTTCTGGGTTTGAGGTCCTACAGCCTAGTCAAAAGCCTGGAGCTGAGTCAAGAGTTTAAGAGCCTAGTCTAGCTCAGCCATGTTCCCTTCCCCATGAGAAGGGGGGAGTGGTGGTGGTGGTGTTAGTGTTGAAACAGCCTCAGGATTTATTCTCACATCACCCTGGCCATATTTCAGTCTGTTTGGCTGAAATTCTGTTTATTTACTTTTACAAGCTTATCTTTGCAACCAGAAAGGTTGGAAACACGTTTCCTCTAAATATAAGCCCAAGACCTATAGAAAGCAAATATTTAATATCACCAGAAGGAGTCTAAATTCACAGCAAATCTGAAAATTTGAAACTTTCAGAATTCTAACAGCCCTGCCAATCATCCTCTTACAGAATATTTTCTTTTTTAAACCTTTAATGGGTAGCCAAGTCCTTGTAAAATTAATGGGAAACCTTCACTATTTATTCTTATCAGATTTTGAGTTTGGTTACTTTTTCTATATCTAGTTATCACAGTGTACAGCACTATACAAGATGAGGGTGCACTGCTTGAAGAAATCACTGCTGTGATTTGATATGACATTGATAAGGAGGACTCGACAGGGTCCAATTGATTTACATTTTAAATGTATTTATAGGGAAGCACTATGCATCAGATATCACAAAGCATTCTAATGATCCTTATAACAGGTTGTGTTTACAAGTAATGACCTATAAGGTGTGCATTATTTTATGCAGAAGTGCATAAACAGAATAGCACAGTTCCATTCTGAAGGGAGTCCCTGCAAAATTATACTGTAGGATTGTTTCAAATTGTTGGCTAACATTGTATTTTCTGTAACCTAGTTGCGTTCCCCTCCTCACCCCATCCCTCTTATGTTAGTCCCTCGCTTGGGCAATCTGTATTTCCCTACTGGCTTTGTCATCTTTTTGGATTCACAGTCCTAAACAGCTACTAATAAAATTCATTCTTTCTTCCAACATGAACAACATCACTGGTTTATTCCATGTCTGCTTGTGACTGCGCTCTCGATGAGAATGAGTTGTCTATTAACAAACTCTCACATAAAGCCATTTCATCTGTAGATCTAAAATTATGCTACAAAATGAAGATAGGCTTATTCCTATTATATACAGGGAGAATGAGACCAGTGTTAAAGTAACTGACTCAAGAGCACAGATCAAGTCAATAGCAAAGCTGGAATAGAAATGGGGCTTCCTTATTCATCTTGTATCCTATTTGCTTAACCATGAAATAGACAGGCTTCCTATCTCCTGTCTTCCTACGCAGGAGCTAGGAACCTCCTGACCCTAGCTACTATGAAACTATGAGTCATGGTTTAGAGTTGAGTATTTTAACATCATAATTAACACACAGCTTTAATAGGACAAAAGTGACATGTTCTTTCTTGCTAGACTCCTTTTCTTCTAAGATCAGAAACACAGCAGGCTTGCTAATGAAAGATGTAGCTGGGGGCCCCAACCCTGTTACTGGGACAGAAGTTACACATAAACTGGTTTAAACCAGTAACAGAACAGCTGTTCAGTGCACATAAACCAGTTTCAAAATGGCTGAAATTAGTTTAAGTTAAACCTGGTTGAATGTATTATCAGACATAACTGATTTGGGTCAAACTGGTTTATGAAACTTCTGTCCTAGACCCCTTCCTGGTTCAAGTTCAATCACAGTCCCCCAGTATGCTTTCTAGCCCTGGGCTGGGCTGTGCTCCAGCAGAGCAGGGTTGACGGGGCTCCTGGCAAACCCCAGCTGGGGTCTGGGGCCAGCGATAGGGGTTAAACTTCCCTTCCCCCAAGTACAGAGCTGCCCTGCCCTGCAAAATCTTATTGCTGACTGCCACTCTGGACTACAAGTCCCAGAGCCACCTGGAAGCAGGAAGAGGAAGTGATGAGTAGGGATCCTGGTTTTCTCCAATTTAAAAAATCCCCAATGTTTAGTTAAAAAAAGTAACCCCAAATCCACATTTTTCCATGATTAAAATGGAACATCACTATAGATATAGATATAGATATATAGTGATGTTTCATTTAAATAACAGAAAATGTGGATTGGGGTTACTTTTTTTAACTGAAAATTGGGGTTTTTAAATCAGAGAAAACTAGGATAGCTGGTGATGAGCAACCCCATAGTTGTGCTGCTGTGATGGTCTGCAAATCCCAGAGACCTCGGGCGCAACAGGACAAGGAAGTGCTATAGAGCCCTGCTCTAGCACCCCCTTAGCCGCTGGCCTGAGCCACTGCAGGCATGTGGCTGCATTTCCTGAATCAAAGGTAAACGTGTGTTTAGTTGCTTCTCAATTTAATATTTGCAACTTAGACTAACCTGCAAAGACTGAATCAATTAAGCCTCAGGCTTTTTGACTGTCTGTACTTAGCCTAAGAGTGAGGGAGCAGCATTATAGGGCTGCAGTCTGTCACAGGCAACTGAGCTAGTGCCAGCTGCAAGAAAGTAAGCAGCCCAGAGGACAGGAATAGCAGCTACAAAACTGCAAGTAATGACTCGGGAGCAAAACTATGCTGCTAAGAGCTTCAGCAAAATAGTAAAGTTGAGACTGCAGAGCAGCTACATAAGCTGCAGTGGAGGCCAGTAAGCTTATTAGTGGGCAGAGGGGAAAGAAACCTTTGTTCCTGGTTCTGAAAATCAGGGATCAAGTGATTAGAAGGGTTGGATCCTAAGGGAATATAAACCCAGCTCCTGAGCCAAAGGGAGAGGAGCATCCAGAAGTGAGACTGCTAGAGGGTAATTGATCCATAGGCAAAAGGTACCATGGAGAACTGGAAGGAGGTGCACTTTGTGGTGCAGTCTCAGACTGGGGTTGAAGTTTGGTTGTTTGTTAAGTGTTTACGTTGACTATTTTATATCTGTGAGGCTTGGGGGTAGCCCTGTAAAGCCACAGTAGGTGCTGGTGAGGTACTGGGTGTTTTACTGGCCATAGGGCCTGGGGTCAGACTACTGGATAGGGAGTAAGGAGGGAAAGCCTACGAGGGACTGATGGAGACCAGCCATGGGAGGGAGAGTGGAGTGTGGAGTGCAAAGCACCCCACGCTTCAGAGGTGTAGATTTAGAGATTCAGTGAGACAAAGCCAGATCTGGAGCAGAGAGAGTGAGTGCCACGCAGGGCATTAGCTGTGGCTAGAGTAGAGATACACTACTCAGATCAAAAAGCTGGCAGATCAGACAAGACTCCCCCACCTCCATGATAAGTGGTGTGGAATGAGGTACCAAAGCCTCTTCCTGCTCTCTGAGGGCAGCCTCCCTCATTCATATCAATAGTCCAACAAGGTGTAGCAGGTGCGCTCATGAGGGTTCTCTGAGATTTGGCAAGAGCAAATGGGGCAGGATTAGTTTGGCTGCCAGGGGATGCTATGGCTTGACTCCAAGACAGGTCTTGTCACAAAGAATGGACTGCAGCGGACTGTGAGAGGCCCTAAATTACTGTCAACAGGTAAGGCCTCTTTAAGTACCTGGATAGACTCCCCTAATAGTCTTGTATTATTCCTTGGCATCTTGACAAGCTCCAACCAGAGATACTAAAACAAGACAAGTGCTTTTGGAGACATCATCTTGCTTTATTCAGCAATCAGTATATAGATTATTAAGTTTGTGCTGATGTGCTGAAGCTTTCTTGTGCATCTGTTCTGTATGTTGAAAGTTGGCAATTCCATTTTTAATTTTTTCAGCGTTTTAAAAGTAATTTAAAACAGTAGCCGCATAAGTGGCCAGATTTAATTTTGGATGGACCTGATCCGGTCACACGCTGGTACATCTGATGCATAGGTCCGTGTTATCTGGCTCTTGGGGCTCGCTACAGATCTGGAAATTTGGCAGTAAGGGAATGTTTATTAATGCTGCCACAGCTCCAAACCTGTGAGGAGCCCTGTGGGCTGGATGACACCTCTACAGCCCAAGGGTTGAGCACTCGGATTTAAAACTTGAGGCCTAATCACCAGGAACACTTAAAACAGTATTTGCAAGAGGCTAGTACTGAATGTGATGACATTTTAAGACAAAAGATCCTAAAAAATAAGCAGCTCAGCTCTAACCTCTGCATTGACCCATGCAGGTTAGAGCAGAGAGAGGCATAGATACAAAGAATGGGCTCCCTTCCTTCCTGTCCTCCTGACGACCATGGAGAAAATGCACTTGTCAGCAGGTGAGAAAGCTGGAAACAAAACGAGGTGCTGGACACTGAGCAGGCTGTTTCAGTTTACTTGAGATTTTAGCTGTTTGATTAAAAAAGCAAACTCAAAGCTTATTTGGCTCTCTGATGGCAATGCGATTTGTTCCATTACAGCCTCTGACAAATTTCTAGGCACAAACTGTCTCTATTATCATTTCTGGACCATCCCAGCTACATCACTCTCACTACCATTATATCCCTTCACAAAAATGGGAACCCCAGGCCCAGTATTAATTCCTTCCCTGCCCCCAAATTACCCTAGGGGCTTAAGTGTACCCTTTTTCATAACTCTAACCAGAGTCATTCTGGTTTTACTGATAATCTTTCCAATAACTAGTATAGTGAAGCAAGAGGACACCTAGACTTTGTATAGGATGCTAACAGGGCTCAACCATGGGGAAGATGGAGGGGGGCTGTTAAATACTACTAAAACAGATCTGGGCATATAATAATTTGCCATTTTAGACTGCACTCTTCTACTGAATTTAGTACACTTTATTTTGAATGATCCCAGAAAGAATTAGCACAGATGATTAAGGTCTACATTTATAAACTTATTAGTCAATAGGGCTATTCCTCTATTGCTAATTAAGTCTAGTGCAATTCTTTACACAGCTATGGCTACAGACTGTGCCAACGTGATAAGACAGACCAACTATTTTTAGGTGATCACCAAATCAAGCATAGTGAATAAACTTAAAAGGCCCTTAAATTCCTTCCCTTTTCCTAAAGGGTCTCACCCGCCCACAGGCTGCTATGGCTTCTAAGTGCATACAGCAATACCATACAGCTATTTAAGAAAGTGAAGATAACCACAATTACAAGTTCAGGTAGGCACAATGTCCTCACCAAAGCTAATTTCACGATTATGGCCAAATTCTAATCAGCTAAGGGAATCATGGAATCTTTAACAGTCAGATTTGGAGACGGTCTTAGCTTTCTGTTGACTGGTAAACAGCACTAGGAAGCAGATGCAAAGCCACTCAGCTTTGTGTGTTTTCAGGAATGTCACAGAAGAAAATTCAACACCACTTGGATCTGGGGTGGGCAATTATTTCGGGTGGAGAACCGCTTACTGAGTTTTGTTAAGCCAAATTTCACTGTTTTATATTTTGAGAGACCAAACTGGATCACTGCTTAAGACAGAATGACATTGTAACAAGTCTCATCTTTCACACAGTAAAAACCACCAGTGCAAAACTTTATTTAGTCTGTTGTACTCATGACAAATTAGATCATCAAGTTTATTTTTCATCCACAGTATTTTCTTGGATATACTCAGTCACATAAAATATGAAAAAGCATCATCTTTCTGCATATTCTTAGACTTCCAAATACCCTAAAAAAACAACCCAAAAAATGCTACAGCAGATTAAGGACAAACCTACAGCATTCATTTACTTTAGCTGGTTCTGATACAGAGGCATATTTTTTTATTTGAGAGTCAACTCCTAGAGACTTGGCTAATTGCACAGCATTTGTATCATCACTGATTAGTGTCCCAAGAGCCACAAGAAGTCTAAAAATGGCTTCAAGATCTTGAACAACCTCCATGATTGTGCTGATTACTGACAAGCACTGAGCTTTGCCTTCAATGTTATTGATTTTATGTAAACAAACAGCATAGTTCAACGTCAACGTGGCCAGTGCAACATGAATGTTCTTATTGCCACATAATTTCAGTTCTATTGCTTGTGACATTATTGTGTCCCTCTGTGACATCATCAGCTTCTGGCCTGCCTGGCTGACAAAACAATTGCAAAGAGTTCTAAGTGCCAGCAACTGATTTGCTTGCTTTCCTTTAGGATTCAGAAACTTTAGAAGGTGGCTGCTGAATTGTATACTATCCTTTTCACTGCAGAAATTTTCATGCACCCGGGGATGCCTTATAGATAATCGAAGAATGTCTAATGCTGGAAAGACAACATCTAAGAAACAAGAAAAACATGTTTTAGTATTATACTGGCATTCCATTCTATACGAGTCTTCTAGAACTTTCCTCAGTTGTATAGATTTGTACTCCTGCTTTCAAGGATGTATTAAAAAACAGATGGTACAAAGCAAGGGTAGCCAACCTGTGGCACTGGTAGCAACTATGTGCACCCCTTATGGTAGGGGCCAGGTAGCAGAGCAGAGCAGAGCAGGGAAGAAGAAAACTAGCAGGGCAAGGGGATTGGAGTAGTGCTCCTGGAGGGCACAGGGCTTAATTTGTGGCATACCTCCCAAAAAGAGGTTGACCCCCGCTGATATAGAAAACAAAAGAGATTCACGATAATGAAAATTTGGGGAAACAGGTTTATTTCAAACTTGTGGAAATCCCTATGAAAAAAGGGATTTCACACAACCCCTCTACCAAAACCCGCCGTTTTTCTTTTCCTTTTTTTATTTTAAAATGCATTCCCTCCCCTTCCCCATCCATTTCTGACTTTTTCTCTCCCTCTCTATTCCCTATAGATAAGTATAAGTGAGCTAAGACATAGGATAAGCTTCAGCATTTTATTTTGGTAGCAAGTTGTTTTTGTTTTTTCTCGTTTTCAAGTAAGTGCTCTGTTATGGATACCCACTGTTTTATATTATATAATTATTATGTTTATATTGATTTTTACTCTTTTATATTACTGTTTTACTGATGCTATATGATTTAGGCCTACATATGTAAGTTAGCATAAGTCATGTCAAGTTTCCATTTTGTGTCCCCTGTCTGGGCATATCCTATTGTAACACTGTTGTAACTGTGTGACTCATGACCCTCCTCCCATGTAAACTGGTTCCTGAGTGAATGGGTGATTGATATACAATGGCAGTAGGTCTAAAAATAACTCCCTCTGAATGACTGAACCATCAAATCCAGGACCCGACCATCACCCTGCACTGACCCTCCCTGGCTCAAGATTTGGAAGACAAAGACTACTGCAGAAATCAGCCAACCCACCATTACCGATACCTGAAATTGAATGTCCTCACCCAGAGTGCACATACACAGTACACCAGGGGCTGACCCTTGGCTAGGCATGCCCCCCTGTCACTAGGGTCATAGGAGGTCTGCCCCTATAAAAGGAGGCAGTGAAGACAGACCCAGCGGGACATCCTTGCCATCTGGACCAGCACCATGCCACCACCTAGCCACCCAGAGGCCCTGCCAGCAACCCGCCTCTGGACTATACTTTCCTGGAGAAGACCCCGACTGGCCATCAAGGATCAGCCCAGGATAGGTAGCTATCATCCATCTTCCTTCCCCAAGCAAAGGACCTGGACTCTGTCCCTACACACCTTGACTTCAATCCCTCCACCAAGCCCTTTTCTTTCCTGCTACCGTTGTGTGGGTGTGTATGTGAGTGTGTGTGTAGGAACCAATAACTTTGTGGCGCTGTGTAGTGTGTTGTTTGTTTAATAAACCTGTTACTTTGAAACCCTGAGTTGGGTTTTTGTCTTATTGACCTCCCCACCCTCTGCCCCAACTCCCCTAGCTTTCTGCCTCTTTGTTCCCAGCCCCTATCTCCCACCTTTTTGCCTCTCTCTTTCCTAGCTGTCTCCTCCTTGCTACGGGGCTTTTCCCCTTGCTTCTACCTCAGTACCAGTGAGCTCAAGTAACCCTGGGGCCACTTGACCTTAAATAACCCCAAGCCTCAGTTCCTCAGCCCAGCTTCTCTCTAGTCTACCAGTTCTAATCCCGATCCTGGCAACTTTCGCTCTCTCACCATAACCTTCCCCCCAAGTATTCCAAGTACGCTAAGCACACACATACACACTGTACCATCCAAGTCAGGAACTCACCTGTGTATATGTATGGGTGGGTGGTATGTGTGTGACCTGGTGAATATACATATATGTCATTGTGTGCGTGATATATGAATTAGTGATCCATGTATGTGTACTGGGTGTGCAGGTGTTGGCAACTGATTTTGTCTAATTTTTGGTGTGTGTAGTGTGTATGTGCTTGAATTGGCATGTGCATGTGCCTAGGCTGGTAATTTTGTATGCGTGTGTGCGCCTGAATTGTGGGGAGGGGTGCGTGTGTGTACGCATGTGCGCACCTAATTGGTTTGTGTGTTTGTATATGTGCAATTATGTCACACCTTCCCATCTAACATCACAATTTTGAGATCCTGAGAGTTGGCCTGGCCCTACAGGACAACACCCCAAGTCTTGGAAAATTTCAGGCATTTGCCAGAAACTCATGTTGCTTTGTATGTTGACTTCAGAAAGCATCAGAGACTCCAATGACATCTTGCCTTAAGAATTCAGATTAACAAAGTGATGAAGGCAAAAGTGGAACATGGAATATTGCTGATTCACAGGGTACGGCATGAAGCATCTCTAAACAGCAAGTGGCTGAAGGATCACTTTCCCCTTCCATTCTGAATCTAGCACCTTTTGGCAGCTAGAAGCAATTCTTTCCACAGGACAAAGTTCAATCTATTCTCAGCTGCCTTCAACAGTAATTATTTTATCCAATCTTAAGAAGAGTTAAGGAACAGCATCAATCTGAAACCTAGTCCACTGAAAAAACTTAAGTTATAAAACAATTCAAGCATTATACCCATCCCTAGCTTTTCTACCAGCTTTTATGGTTCTGTGTTATTTTCCTTTGGTATTTTACAAGACAGACTTACGTGAACAAGGGAAACGAACAATTTTCTACACACAAATATCTGTCCAATGCACAAGTTTAAAAACAAACTAAATTCAGTTCCTTAAAATTTTAGTACACAGACAGTGCGCACCCAAGTGAAAGTGCGTATTTACTTAAAACCAAGTCAAACGTGCCATTTTAAAGCTGAGTAAAATACCATCTTATATACCCCCATCCCAGCTGCTTGCAGAATATAAACTTCAGTACTTCACAATTCAAAATCTGGCTCATATAATCACTTTTAAGTGTGCTACTTTTTCAACTTATGACTAATGAGCTCCAGGGAGGCTGTATTCAGAACAGCTTGATTTAACAATGGCAAAATGACAGGCTGTTAAGCAATACAATTAGGACTCTACAGCACCATAACCCCAAATTAGTGATTTGAGAAAGACAGAGAGATAATTAGCCTGAGTATTTGGAGGAACAGACATACACAGTAGGGGTACAGCTACCGACTCAAAGATGGGATGAATGTCAATTGTCCTTTACAAATAAACCTCTTACCTCCTGCCCAAGCTAAAAAGCTTAGTTTTGTGGATGTCTGTAAGCTCAAAACCAGGATAGCTAAAAATGGTTTAAAGCAGAAGCAGAGGGAAATGCTAAAGTGTTATTTCTCATTCACTATAGATATTTCTGCCACGTTGCCTATAACATGGGTATCACCCTTACTTCTCTGGTTGAATTATACTGGTCTCATTGTTTCCTTAAAAACTGTCCCATCGGTCTGGATCTATTTGTGGTCTCTTGTCTTATATTTAAATTGCAAACTTTGAGACAGGGAATGCCTTTATTCCATGCTTGTAAAGAAGCCAGAACAATGGAATCCTGGTTCATAACTGAAGTTTCTAGGTATTGTAGTGCAAAACAGAAATCATACCTTCTGGCCAGTTAACTGCTTTCCACAAAACTTGTAGTTGTTGTGCTGTAGGTGTTTCTGCAGAGCTATTACATGTTATGGATAGTATCTTTTCTAGGAGTATCAAATCATCTTCTGTCAGCTTTTGTTCATCAGATACACTTCCATTAAGTTCCTTAAGTTTACCTGCATAACCAAAAATCAAGTATGACTTACTGCATCATATGAAATCCTTAAAGCAATCTACAGATCATCTCAAAAGTTCTAAACGTCAGCTATCGTCATAGCCTTTGAGAGATTTTTTGCACAAAAACTCATGTTCCATGATTTCTTTAATATTACACAGGAATACCTGCTTGTTAAATGCCAGGAACAACACAGCACGTGCAGAAGTAACACCCCCCCCCCTTTGGTTCACGAATTGGAAGCTACACTTCCAACTGTGGTAATTTAAGAACATTTGAGTACTTTCAAATATGCTGTAACTGCTGAAAAGGCCAACTCCTATACCGCTTTCAGAGATCACAAATTTTAGTTCCATCAAAAGGTATAAGCAGACAGTACTACTTCAACTTCTCCTTGTCTTGTCAACTTTTATGAGGACAGAAATCAATGGAAGTCCTGAAAGGACTACTTCAGGCATCGCATGAAAAACCTATACTGTTTGTAGCCAGAAGCTTCTGCTGCTAAGTTCAGGAAATTTGTGGTTGGAAAAATGTTCGCACCATGGGCTTACAAACTTTCTGGATGAGTGACATGAATGTGTCAGTTTCTAAGCTATCATTTAAACAGTCTTTACTATTGCAAATGCAACCTTCCAAATATTAAATTAAGTGTAAATGAAGGCAATAAGGTCTTAAGTCTATGAACAGCAGTATCTGATGCTATTTGCTTTGCTAAAATGTGACAGAATGAAAACTGCCTGGTCTTGTAGGTCTCACCACCCCTATTGGGAAACTGTGGGCAAGAATTTGAGAGATGCTACAGAATGAAAAGTAAGAGCAGCACTGGAGGCAAAACTAGAATTATTTACTAGAGAGCTCCCAGAAAGGAGAGCGAGCATAGGATGACAAAAGATCGCCAGCATCCGCAAGTAGTTAAGACCTTACACAGTAACAAAGAATGCTCTCTTTTTTCCAGCGTGGACTGGGGATGACACCAAGGGTTTAGGCTGATTCCTTTTAAGCACAGAGTACAGAAAGAAAGACAGCGATAAGATCTAAGAACAGCACTGTCATGGGAATCCATGTTTGTATTCTTTCTAAGTAATTGGCATAAGTAAGTACTGGGCATCACCTAAGTATACAGTATATCAACTCCTACAAGGACATAAAAAGGGTGGGACAATCGGGAAGTAGATAAAAATGAAATGCTAGAGATGTTAGCGGGAACGAGAAATTTTTGACTGCACGATCATCAAGGTAGGCAAGTATGCCTTGCTTTAAAATGTACATAGAACCTATCACAGCTTGAGGATTATTTTAAAAAAATTAGATTTATAGGATTCTCAAATGCACTAGACAATTAGATAGAAAAAAAAGAGAGAGACACAACAGAAAATAAACAAGATAGACATGACGAAGCTAAGTTGACAGTCAAAAGGCTGAATTGATTAAAACTTTGCAAATTAATCTAAACTGTGTAGATTGAAACAATAATCAAGCGAAGATACATTTGCATTTGATTCTGGAAATGCGGCCAGATGCCTGTGGTGGCTCAGGCCAGAAGCTTGGTGGGGGGTGCTAGAGCATGCCTCCCTGCTCAGCTGGAGCAAACAGCTTAGGCCCACGTTAGTGCACCCACCCTTGGAGGGGGAGGTTTGTTGGGGAGATGCAATGCTTCCCAGAATGCAGGGAGATTGTGCGTTAACTTGAAATCTGGAGGGAACCTGGGACAGAAGTTCAATAAACTTATTTAATCTAAAAATCAGTTAAGTCTGATGCTACATCCCATCCAGGTTTATCTTATATCTTAAACTGGTTTCGGCTATTTTGAAAGCAGTTTATGTGTACTGAACTTGTATTGTGTTACATATTTGAACTGGTTGCTGATCATTTATACCTGTTTAGGTGTCATTTCTGTCCCTAGCCAAAGAGGGAAGACGACAAAAGAAAACAGTGCAGACAGAAACAAACACAAAAAGTTACAAGGAAAGAGAAAAGAGAAAAAGGCATATTCACCACTAGAAGCTACTGCAGGAAACAGAAAGTGGACTAAAGGAAGGAAAGGTGCAACAAAAATAAATAAATGAATAAATCATCAAGGTACAATTAACGTTTCTGTCCATAACTGTTGTATTTCATATTTCATGCAGCATGGTCAAGTTAAATAAGTACAACGGTCCTTCTTGAACATAATTTGTGAAGCCACAGAGGACATAACTATGTAACATGCAAGGAAGACATAAGTACATGGTGTGTTTTCAAGCTCTGACAAAATGGAGAACTAACACTGCCTTCAAGCAACCTGTGGAGCTCCACTGCAGCAGGTGCAGAAAAGACTTGCATCTCTCAAAAGCATAGCCAAATGCCAAACAAGCAGGAGAAAGTATGAGAGACCTGTATTACAGGGATAAAGCAGTAGATTTTTTTTTTTTTTTTTACATAAAAGAAAGCCCTTTGTGATATCTATCCTGACCGCCTAGTTACATTTTTAAAATCTAGAATGTAGGTAACTAATCACATGGCAGAAAATGATAATAGATTTAAATATTTTAATTGTGCAAGACTAGGTCAATAAGAGTGGTAAAAACAAAGAAGTTTTTTGGAAGGACTGAGAAAGAAGAGGAGGTATAAATTCAAAGCAAATTAAATTAAAAAAAAACAAAATCAAATTCAAGACTAAATCACTCTCACCCAGTATCTGCGTTGGATTGGCCTGATCAAAAGTAACCGCCTCCTTCTTTGGAAAATAAATATTTTCAGCTTTTGCTGCACCTGAATGGTAAGCACCATTTCCTATACAAGAAGATACGTATTAGCACTTCAACAGAATACAGCTATATTTGATAACAATGAGTAACTACTAGAGCTATGTGAAACTTCAGTAATCAATTTAGTTCAGAGGAGATTTGTCCCGATTTGGGGACTGAATCTCCAAATTCTAATCAAATCGGGAGACTAATTAAAATCTCCAAACTGATTTGGAAAAGCTTCGGCTGCTTTGGAGATTCAGCCACAGGCTAAACAGGCAGCTAACACAGCTGTCTCCAGCTGGTAAATCTGTTGGGGTTGGAGGAGGGAGGGGTTGGGGCTGAGAAAAGCTACCTAGCTGGGGCAGGGAGGCATGGGATGTGG